GCTTACTATTATTAGCTACATTTTTATCCTTAATTTTAAAAATATTGTAGTGATCTAGTTTATAGAAAATTAGTATAAATAGAGTGTTACTTAAAAAATGTTGATTGATTATGATGGTAGTAAAGCATGTAATTCTAAGCAAGAACCATATCAACGTTGTCTTACTTCCACACATCCGGGAATAAGATTTTAGAATAGTTTTTTTTTTTAAACCAACGTAGTGATTAATAAGGAGATAATACTTTAAAGTTGTATATTTGGGATGCTCCTCAGATAGCAATGCCTACTTTGGTCGCACTTGAAAATTAGCGCAAAAATTTTTAAATTGTGTAATTCGTTTTCCTACTTACAGTCCTTGCAATTCAATTTAAATCAGATAAATAATTTTTTTAACATGGATACCAATAAGTCAGTCAATCAAGAATATTGCTTTTATCGATAAACTTATTAATTTAATGTTATAGCTCATAAATATTCAAACTGTCTAAAAATGTTTGATCAAATCTTTTGACCAAACCGATTTTCAAACCAACAACTGTGGGACAGAACGAATACAAACGACATCAACATAAATATTCACAAGAGAATGTTTGGCTGGATTGGTCACACCTTACGAAAGCCATCAATTGAAGTTTGTTTTCAAGCCCTTACGTATAATCCGCAAGGCAGCAGAAGAAGAGGAAGGCTTAAGATTATCTGACGCAGATTAATACTAAACGAAATAAATAGCCAATCCACATACCTTGGCAGATCATGCATCAATATTGTTCAGCTCAGAGAAGTGACAGTAAGAAGGCAAAGATGGAGGCAATTTGTAGATAGTCTATACCCAGTATAGAGGCAGCTTGGAATCATGTAACGCCAAGCAAGGCTTAATATTAAATAAAATAATAAGAATATATTATTTTAATTTGTCCCTGTACGTGTGCGGTAGTTCCACTTTTGCTTTTAATACATTGTGTTAGTTTTATTGCTAATAAGACATCACATACACTATATTGTTATCTTAGTTCTATGGAAATAATTTTTAATTATTAAAAAATGAATTATTCTATATTTCAAATGAATGCTCTTTTGGTGTATACTTAGCTACATACTTATATAATAAGGAGTATTTTTCATTTAAAACTGCAAGAAACCTAGTTCTTTATATTAGTACATTTTATACAGGTTTGCTCATAATAATCTTATTACATCTAATTAAAGTTTAAATGATGTATTTTTGCTAAACATAACTAACGTTCCTTAATATTAAAATAAATAAAGACCGAAACTTTAATAGAGAACCCCATAAAAAATGTTATTACACATTATTATGGAAAATATTATAAATTCTTAGTTAACATATCAGAATGTCCTTTTTATTTATGCTCTAATTTCGTTTTGTGGTGAAAGTTCCTTTGGTGTATGATATTGATGTGTCTGTAATTTGGTGTATGATATTAAGTCTGTAAGAATTGTGATGTGAAATTGTGGATGAGCTCATCCAGTAGCAGACTGAAATTCAAACTCAAGCACTCAAATTTTTTTCATAAGCAGTTCAAGGGGTGGATGAAATGTCTCGCTCTGCATCACTTTGAACTTATTTTAAAGAAGTTTATTTTTAAAGAAGTAAAACAAGGAAATATAAAATAATATTTCCTTTTGTTTCATTGTAAACAATACATCATTAAATAAAATTACAAATAAAATAGACGTATTGTATAAAATAATAATAAAAATATTGGATAAGGTTCGGTTTAAGAGTGTATCTGCATGTATCTCCACGTAGGCTACCTATGGACTTGTTACACCATACTACGGCGCTTATTTTTAAGATATCCCTTTTCCTTATAATTTGTTTTCTTGATTTTTTTTTATGATACGTATATACCGGATTGAACAACTACCGATTATTTCCCTGCTTTAGATATGAATGCTATTTTCACAGAATAGTTTTATCTAAATAGTTGGAATATATGATCGGTTTATATACGCTTGAAAAATTTATTCCAGTCATGGTAATTTCACTTCCAATTCAGTATTCTGAAGTTCTGTTGATATATTATTATCTGGACCTATAAATTAATATGGTTGAAATTTTGTTATAGTATTTTTTATATGATTTCTTGAGGCGTTATGACATATGTTAATTTAAGAGATTTTGGGGTCTTGCTCGAGACTCTTGTGAAAGTGAGTTTTCAATAGGGTGCCTAAAAATGCATAGTACACGTTTTTCAGGACCCACTCTGCTTCAGAATAAGACTAGTGAATAGTGAGAATAGTGAGTTTTGGATAGCATTTTCTTGAATCTGCGGACTATGGTGGTATTAGCAAACTCGCTAGTGAAAATACGCTAGGATACTTGTTCTGATAACCTGACAACATTTTTGAATGATTTGTGGCTCGCGCTATAAGCCGACCAATTACCCAAAGCTTGTGCTGAGTGAATAAGTTTTCTGGTTTGAATACTTAGATCAATTATTTCATTGATCTACAATTTCGGTTGGGATTTATTACCGGTTTTTAATATAGGACATAAAGGTTTCGTCGCTTATTGTAGATTTTGCTTAATTTGTACACTGTTTCTTTTAAGTTATAGTTTATTTTATATTTCTATACGTAATCATTAAGATAACTAAATCATTTTTTGCTTATTTAGAAAATGATGAGCTATGTCATCATATTTAATTGGAAGCAGGTATACTCATAGTTAGAAGAGTATTAAAGCATTAAATACATTCCAGAACATTAAAATTTTACATTTTATAAATTATTGATTATATTAATTAAACTTTATAAATTCCTACTATAGCCTAATTTTTTGAGCAGAATTACAAAACAAATAGTCTAAAAATATAGGCGTAGTAATTGAATGCATTAGTAAAATATATCTTTCTCCTCAGATCAGCTTCACTTTCTTTGATATGGCAATTAAAATAGTTCGTAATGCGCTAGATTTCAATTATTCCGTGTTAAAAAATTGTTTTTTTTTTCTAATTTACGTATTGTCTATGGAATATGTTCCTTATGAAAATATAGGTGTAAAATTTATAAATATATAAATTTATAAAATATTCCCTTTGAGCTCCATGCGATGAAATCGTTTTGGTCGATCATCTATACTTTAAAACAATTTTTATTTATAATATAGTTTTCTTTAACGATATTATTTTATTTTATATTGAATATTTCTCCGGGGCTTGTAAAACACACTGAATGTCTTTTCGATCCATTGCACGCTTTGGGTTAAAAACTTTTGTAATGAAAACGCTGTATTATAAATAAAAACAACTTAAAAGAGATCAAAATAAATTTCTGAATTAAAAAAATTCTGAATTAAGAACGAAATGCAAGTAAGGGTTAGATCTGACTTTATAAGTTTTTAGAATAAAAAAATGTTAAGACTTAGGTAGAAGATACTGTTTTTTTTTTAGTTTAAAGAATGAAGATTTTATGGAATTTTTACAAAAATTTTAGTGTACATGACTCTGTTTTTGTAGAAAGTCTACTATACCAATTAATAGGATCTGTTACAATGAATATTATATTTTATATAATTTATAAATATATTTTATAACATCAAAAATGTATACAGTATACGCTCGGTTATGCGAATACTCGATCAAGTAAACATCCCATTATGTGAACAAAAAAATCGCCGAAAAATATAATACGTGGTATTCTATAGAGTGAACAAGGTGATAATTCATTTATGTGAACTAAAAAATTTTATTCTTGATTTTATTTTTTTGTTCTAAGGCTTACAAATAATATAATTTATCTTAAAAGATGAGTATATTTCGTTTTTGTTACAATGTTATTTCAATTTCTAGGTCCCACCTTTCTGATGAAACAGTTACTATGTCGTAATTTTTTTTTGTTTTTTCTTATTTACTTTTCCAATTAATGGTATAGTGCATAGGCTTTTTTCGCAAAAGGCAGAAATGTGATCGTTATGTGACTTGATTAGAAGTTTTGAAAGTTGATCATCGTTTATATTGGCAGCTATTTCATTTCAACTTAAGCATAAATACTTAATAGAACTTATCTTCTTTCCCAAGTAAATCTTATTCAAGTTCATTTTACAAAAGGCACGAGTCGCAGTATCACTTATTGTCGAATAAGGAATCGCAACAATTGAAATAAAGTTCTCAGGCTGTTCTCACGAGTCGGAAGTTTTTCCAGTTGAATTACAAGCAAAAAAATCTGAATTGCTTTTGTGAACTTATTGAGGTAATGAGATCAAACCATTGTGTCACATCTAAGTTTTATGCAATACTAATAAAGAAGTGCACGCGACTATTTTAAGATTTTCTTGATCGTGTGGCCGTACAATGTATGTTATGGTTTTTTAGTCTATTGTGTTTATTGAATGAATAAAATTAAATAACATGTTTAATTGGAAACTTTTTTTTTTTTTTGTATTATATTTAACCTCAAATATTTTCTAAAGACATCTATTAAAGAAATTGCTGAGTTTCACATTCGTGCAAGCAATTATGGCTCTAATTATTTTACTTACCAATAGTTTTTTTCATATTATACAAATAAATCGATATGCGAACTATTCTGATTATTCGAATATCCAGCTTTACATCCAATAGTCCGAATATTGAAAAAGTATAGTTCGAATAACTCAGCTAGTGCTATAATCCTGATTATTGAAAAATTCAAAATAATGGACTGACCCTTCAGAATATGAAATATAATGTTTATTTATTAAAATAATTTGCATTTATAATATAACAAATTAAATTAAATTATTACATATGTATGTTAAAAAATAAAATTGTTAATTAAAGTTGAATTTCAAAGAGTGAAACCCAGTTATTTGAAACATTTTTTGTAAGACTCATCAAACTTTTTCCATCAGAAGAATAAATGCATATATAAACTTGACATTTAATAATATTATCATAATTAATAAATTTAATAAAACCAAAAAAATGACACTTATTGTGTGATAATTGCAATAATCATTTATTGAATTAAATTAATAACTTTTTTTTTCATTTTAGATTATATATAAGGAATAAATCAACATAAACCAGCTAGGATTCCAAAACAAAGACGATAAAAATAATACAAATAACTAAAAATACTGTATGATGGTGTGAATATGAACTGCAAGATAACCGTATATCTACATCTGTAGCTTCCCCCAAGCATACAATTTCACAAAAACGAAACCATTCACAACTTCATCGTTTAATGCATCATAGTTTCACTACTTTTATTTTTGTTCCATCATATTAATTGGTCTAGAGTCTAGACAGACCAACAGAAATCAATAAGATTACCCATCTGCACAGTTCATATAAAAAACTAAACAAAATTATTCAAACAAGTGAAGATAAATTCAGGCCATGCCATCGTTGAGGCAAAAGGTCACAACGTATTTTCGTCAATTAAGTTTCATTGCAGAGCCTCGTGATGGACAAAGAAGTTCACGTAAAACTGAAGATGATGGCAATTTCATAATTAAATATTTGGAGGGGTAAGTCAATTTTACAAAAATAAAAAAAGAACCAGAGAAACCAAAATTATTCACTAATTATGAGAATTGATTTCACTTATATATTTTGGATGTATTTCACTTCATGCTACCAATTATAAAAAAGTAGAAACATAAGTGTTCATATACCGTTGAGATACCATATGTCGAATTTATGTAGATTGATAGAAATTCTTACAAAGTAGAAGTTTATTGCTGTTAGGAAACTTTCATTTAGAAACCCATGAAAGGTTTTAATAATATGCTCAAATCTTTCATCCATTAAATATATACATCTGTTTGTTTAAAAGAAATTCCTTTTTCCTTTCCCTAAATACATATTATCTAAAAACATATTATTTTATTTAATTTGATATTAAAAAATGTAATTCACAAAACATAAGTGGCATTCAGTCGAGTATAAAACTGACATTGTATTCACAAGATAAAGTGTTTGTCACATTTCTGATCTGAAATCCTTATCTTCTATATATTATACGTAAGCTGATTGAGGTATGGTATAGCTTTTTAATCTTTTAAGAAATTTTTATTTATAGCCACCAATGGACTGGAAATGCTTTTGATGAAGTGGTTAATTTAGCTTCGGAAACATAATAAAAGCTTAAAAAAAACTCCCTCAACTATGGATTTGTACAATCGCAGAACATTCAATAGTATAATTGTAAAAACAATTAATGTCAACACACTTGATAACACTAGGGTACGCTCAGTTTTCAAATTTTAAATTCCTGATACGTTCTACACAGAATATAACTTAAAATAATATTTAAAAAAAATGAGATTATTAGGCACATGTTTAGGATACCATTTATTGAGAAATGAGTTAGCGTGACGGAGGGAGGATAGTTGAAAATAAATAAAAAAGTGAATATAGAACATTTTAGTAACTTGCTATACTTATATATTCAAAAATGTTATTATTCGCAAGAAAACTTATTATTATCTAACTAAGCTATCGTATTGTAGAATAACATTTTTTATTCAGTAATATAGCTTGTTTAATATTCAAATTAAAAGCTTTACCCATTAATATATACTAAATATGTTCTGAAAGCTATTTGTTAAGATCGTCTACTACATTATCGATCATAATTTTTTTGGACCTGTTTCTATTATTCTCACAAATCGGCGCTAATGAATGATGTATTCATTTATTTTTGCTTCGCTATTTTATGATTTATATAATAAAGAGGTTTTTTCGAACAGTAGTGAACTACAATAACAAAAATTTTATTTTTTATATTATTTTAATTAATTGAATTTTTGGCTGACCATACAGCTGTTTCGAGTATTGCCAAATACTCATCATCAGTGGTCTTGGAAATAATTCTTGTATTTAATTATTCGTAAATAATTATTTTTGAGACTGCAAGTACCAGAAATCGAACTCGGGTCCTGCCAAATGTGAAGCTCAGAATCAGCGAAGCTCAAAACGCTTAACCAACTGATCCAAAGCCGTACTTGACTTTTTATGTTTGCATATTTTTCTGGAGTTTTTGTTGCTTTTGCTATGAAAGTTTTTATTAACAATTTTACTTGCTGTGTTTATATTAGAACGAAATCATAAACCCGCTGTAGAATAATTGAATTAATTAATTATTTATATTTTTATTTTTAATTGTTAAATTTCAATACTATTCTGTTCGTAGAGGCATTATTTGTTGCAATATATTAAGTGAATCAATATATGAAGTTAAGCAGTTAATCTATTAATTATTAGATTTCGTTGAAGTCATGTTTTATTCCACCCCCACTTACAGTTATTATCTTAAATGTTCAATCATATTACACTGTGATAATTTTAATTGCTGTACTCAGATAAAAATCTTTATATACTATTTAATACATACAAATATTTGTAATACTAGGTATATTTGCTTTATAATGTTTATTATTATATAAACTCTTTATACTAAAATGAAAGTTTTTTCTTTGGATTTTCACATTTTCTTTGTTATTTAATACTTAAAATATTCAGACAAAAAATATAACGCTTTTTGCTTCTTTCAGTCGCATGAATCGCATTTTTTCCCCATGTCCCGAAATTTTTAATGGACAAAATCCCACAGATTTGCCGGAACTAAAAATTGGATCATACGCTACTGGACCAGTAACAATTACTGCCGCCTGTACAGGTCCCGATGATGGTCTTACCGGAATAAAACGCTCAAAGTTGCATTTAACCGCCAACTATGCGGATGATATAGATTTTATAGATACAATACAAGAAAGCGATTGTTTTGAAGTGCGAAAAAGTATCACAACCAATCGTAATCACAGTAAATTAAATCGCTTCAATGGGTCAAGAAAATTAAGTAATGGTGCGATCACGCCCACAAGTGATCAAAATGCGAATAAAATGACGGGCATGCGTTCACGCAAAAACTCTAAAACAGGTATAGCCAACCTTAGTCAAAATATTAATTCAACAACCACCAAAGACGCAACAAAGACTACATCGATTACATCAAGTAAACGAGCCGAAGAAAATTCAAATGCCGCAACCACTATAGTGGTTAGCATGGTTAGCACAAAGACAACGCACAATGCTCCAACCATCGCCACCCATGATGCCAATGACCAGAATAACAAAAATATTTTGAATGGAAAGACTGAATTTCTTGGTAACAAGGATGTAGAGTCTCATACAAAAACAACACTAACAAATTCCGCAACTGTGCAGACAAAAGATACAATGCCGTTAAAATCTGGTTTTAGTAATTTAGGCAGTGCAGAGACAACAAATATTCTTGAAGCTACAAGGGAACGATTGCTACGCGAAGCTGTTTCCAATCAAGCCGCTGTCGCTTGTAATAGTGGTCACAGTGACATGTTTACAGATTCAATAGCCAGCGTATCCAATTGGAAAATGGAAACTGACTACGCTTATGGCATATCGGTTTCGTTATATGAGAATAATATATTAACCAAGGAACCAATGGGTAACCCAATTGCAGATTGTTATGGTATGGTTGTGCACGGCGATGCTGTTGCTATGGCGCTCGCAGACGGTGTAAATTGGGGTAAGCATATTGTCATTTTAAGAGTAAATATATTTATGTAAAATTTTTAATATCTTAGGTGATGGTGCTCGCTTAGCAGCACGTTCAGCTGTACATGGCTGTTTAGATTATTTGGATCGTGCAATATTCGGTTTATCACGCGAATGCGTGGCTACATCAACACATGAAGTGTTTATCAGTCTTCTACGTAGTTTGTGGGAAGGACATGGATGTATATTGGAAGTTGGTGGGGCATTAAGTACACTAACAATTGCAGTAGTGTTGCCTTTAGCCGACAATCAGCAGGATGAGTACACTAAAAAATATGTTGTGTGCGCATGTAATGTAGGTGATTCATTAGGATATGTTTATTCAAAAAAATATGGTGTGCGAGAATTCACACAAGGTAAAATTTTATTTAATATAAAAAATTTAATTTGAATTAAGTAATTTGTTATATTTAATAGCCTCCCATGATATTTCGTCTATGCGTGATATGAGAGATGCTTTAGGTGCGCTTGGTCCAGCTGATGGCAATAAACCCGAGTTAAGCAATTTAACATTATCCATGACGATTGTCGAGAAAGGTGATATTGTTTTTTTAACATCCGATGGAGTAAGTGATAACTTTGATCCTGTTGTTGGGAAATTTGCTGAAGCCTGGACACCTGATGTTAAGTTAATGTCGTCATCTCTACTCTATGGACGGACTGGGCATATTGGTGTACTTGCACCAAAGCGACAAAACAAGAGTACTTCAGCTGTATATGCGCACTTGCATCGCGGATGTGAATCCAATTCACCAATTATGCCACCTGTTCGACCACCACGTACTAAAAAGTCAAACTTACAGGAAATGGAAGCAACTGCCTCTGGCAATGCAGCACCTAGCCGTCCAAAATATATGCGCTCACAAACAGTAATAGAACCACGGCGCCCTTCGTCTGCAGGAAATTTGTCTTCCAGACCACTTAGTCCTACACAACCCCCTAAAATACCAAAATCAGTTACGGGCTTGCCATTGGTGACAGGACCACAGAGACACGCATTAACCCTTTATCGACTTGAAGACTTACTTAGCTATGGCATAAATGGTACTTTTTCTCCATGTGTATCAGCACGACGTCTATGTCATTTATTAATTGATTTTGTACGCATGATTACATCGGCACGGCGTAAAACATTAGAGCAACGAGAACTATTTTACAAACTAGCTACCGGGCCTGATGGCGTTAAACGTGAAGTGGAATTAAATCGTATGCAACATCGTGCAGCACGTAAACGGATTGTGGATAGTAATGCATTTGGATCATTACCTGGAAAATTAGACCACGCCACGGTTTTAGCATATACCATAGGTGGTGCTGGTGGTGGTACAACAACAACAGGTGATAGCTGTTTACAGCAGACTGGACAGGCATCAATAGAGCCAACTACAGATTTGGAGATAATAGAAACTAAAGAATTTCAGGAAACAAATTTTTAAGCCTAATTAGAGAAATAAGTTTAACTAATGGAATTGGCCGAATAGCCTAAAGTCGATATGTCATATTTTTTTATATAAAGTGCAATCAAAGAGCTTTTTTATTAGTTTTTTAAAATAAACATTTTTTAAATATTATTATACACATATATATTTGTAGACATCACATTATAATGGATAAGAAGAATATTTTAATAATGTAAATGTTTTTATAAAAATTGAATATGATGGCCTGAATGTTTTAAACTACCAAAAGTTTTTAAAAGTTACCAAACAATTATATATACACTCTTTCATATTCATCGATAGTATATACACATATTTATTTTCGTATTTACATACATTAATGTAGATTAGTCCTCGTAGTGCTTAAAAGTAATTTACTTTCATTATGTTTTGTATTTTTAGTATAGATATGCGACATTGAACTACATATATAAACCATATAAGAAATAAATGCTTTAAATTTTACAAATTAACTTCTAATTTTTTAATTAAAATAATTTTATGCTATTTTAATGTATTAAGTATAATAGAATAGAAACTATAAATATACGAATATAGGTATTCGTAAAGTTTCGAATATTTTATAATCTAAGTTTTAATTTCCTTCATATTATGTTATAATATATAAAGATTATATTTGTAAATTTATTATCTCAATTTCTAATTTACTCTCATTGTTGATGATATTGACGAATTTTAACCTTCACGGTTTACATTATCATAAAAAAAACCTGTAGTAGTCCTGCCGTTCGTTTTTTTTTAATGTTGTATTTTTAAATATTAAAGTTAGGAGTCTATGACACTTCTTATACGCTTAGATGTTTCGAATATATGAAATCGATTTTATTACAGACATTTCTAATTACTGAATTTATAGTTCGTAGAGTTTATAGCTCAGTATTAAAAGAAGGCGCTATTGGTTTGACAGTAAAACCGCAGACTGACAGTTACAATTATGGCAGTGAATCCTCAGTAAAACAGAGCAGGAAGGTAATCTGACGGATCAGACTAAGTAGCCAAAGTAACAGCTTTGGTCGGCTATATTCTTTGTGTCTTTTCATTTTATAATAAAAAATATTCAAATGCAGATATTTTACTTTTATTTTGCTTTGTGTCTTCTATTCGGTTCTGGTCAGTTACAAGTGCAAAGAACCACCCCCCCTCCTTTATAGACCAATACCCTATTGATTTTCATTCAATTCTATTTCATTACCTTATTAACTTATACTACTTTAAACTATATTTTATTGATATATTCTTCACAAGTCATTATTTAACTCATCTATTTTATCGTCTTCAGGTATCCTTAACTTACCAGCCACTTTTCAATTTGTACTCTTTTATGAATTCAATGATTATATCTCCGTTTATCAATTAATACAGCTCATTATTTATTCTACATGGGCGGCAAAAGCTTACCAGATTCAACTGAAGTCATTGTACAATTTGGACGGCTGTATTTAATTTATGAACCAATTTAATTTCTACTGCACTATCTAATCTCAGAGCAGTCACAAGCCGCACGGACTGGTATAAAGATCTTAGATCAGTTATTGAATAATCAGTGAAACTTATGAGGAATCTTTAAATCCAGTAGGGAGATGTTCTGAAGAAATCCCCCATTTAGCAAAGAGTAAAAGTGCCTAATTGCACTAACTCGGAAACCTCAACGACAGAACGAAACTCGTAAATATGTAAACATAAGCAAATTAAACAGTGTGTTATAGAAATATTCAAATGAACGCATATAATTGAATTCATACCATGTTGTTGTGAACGTTACTTGGTCGTTCGAACTTGAAGAGTGGCTCCGGGTCTACGTCCAATTGAACCATAAACCAATTTTTACAATAATTATAATTATTTTAACATATTTGATCATGATTGGACCTTTTTTATATTAAATGAAATACTTAGATATAAAACACAATAATACTCACAATATTAAAACACACAGTGTAAATGTACTAAGATAAGCGTGCAATGTAAACCAACAGTCAACAGTCATATTCCTGATTTAGTCTCAATTTTCACGTTGAAGGTTGTTGTTATCTTTGAGAATATCACCAGTGTCCGAATGAGCACTGCACTAATATTTAGACGTTTCGTATAATAATGTAGAAAGACCGTAAATGTTTTGAAAATATATTTTTCTTATTCACTTCATGTGATATATAAATCTAGTTTTGAGAACAATATTTCACCTTTACTGAAGAAGAATTGAAAATGAAAGCACTACTACGTTGTCATCATTCACAGTGCCAGACACTTGAAGCCAATGTCAAAACCACTTTACGGCAGTCAAGGTGTTCTGTGCAGTTTAGACAATGGGAGAAATATTTCGCATTTTTATTACTGCTACGAATGAACCGCAAAATATGGCACAAAAGGCCACAATGCATGCAATTTGCTGTGCTGCGACTGTAATATTTCTTTTATTATTGTTTTAATATTTATACATATTCTCATGTTCTTTTATATTTTTAGTCGTATCTTTTTTCTGTAATCTAAACAACTGCGGCTGTGCCGAGTGGCGCAAATAATGATTTTTTCTATTGTTTTCCAATTTAAATCTCCAGCTAGGAAAGACACAGTCATTTGTTTAGTTTAGTAATTTAGTTGTTTCCTGCAGTCACACAACCGGATAAAATGTCACTACAACTTCAAATTGAAAAATTAAAAGGTTTAGATAACTATAAACCGTGGTCTATGACCGTACGCGCATACTTAGAATCGGAAAACTTGTGGACAGTTGTGGAAAACGGACCCGAAAGTAATGAAGAAGTAAGAAAAGTATTTACAAATTTTTTCCAATACTTAAATTGAATTTTTGCAGTCAATGCTTAAGGACAAACGTGCGAAATTTATTATTTTGTGTTTAATCGAACAAAAGCTATGCCAATTCATGGTTAGCATTAGAACAGCTAGAGATTTATGGAATTATTTAAGAACCCAACACTCACTACGTTAATTCTAAAAAATTAAATTAAATTAACTAAGCAGTTTAAGTAATAATGTTTTAATCCAAATAAATATTAAAAAATAAAATGAAGAAATTTCTTAAAATATATAAAAAAAGTACAACTGATGAGGGACTTGCTGAACCATAATTCAAAGTAGCTGACAATAAAATGTTACAATATATTGAATATCCTCTTCGCATGGTACATTTATGAGATCGGTTAATTTAGTTCTGTATGTACTAATCCAATCCCTGCATAAAGCAATAATTATGCAGGGCTATTATCGGACCATTTTAGTAAGAATCAAGTTGTCTTTTGGAGATACAACAGCTTACAACAACAAATGAACAAAACATTGACAGTTGTATCGTCTAGTAAGATTCATCCATCAAAACATTTTGAGATAATCTCTGAAGATTAGTTAATTGCTTATTTATACATTCTTTAAATATAATACTATGTTCAATAATTCGCAGGATATGCTGTATTCCACTTTTTAATTTTTTCATTTATCCTTACAGTAAAAAATTTTATGTTTAATTTTTCAATGAATATTAAAATAGAAATTTATCCACCTAAATGTTTTTATCTACGAGAAAAACAAGTATTGAATGTTCAGACAATTTTAGCATTTTCTTCGGATTCGTTTTGGTTAATATATACCAGGGCTGTCCAATGTACGGCCCATGGACCTCATGCGGCCCGCCAATTGTTTCTAAACTACCGCAATTAAGCAAATTATTTTTTGTTATATTTTGGTAAAATCACATTATTATATTTATGGTATCCCAAAACAATAAATAAAAATTTTTTAAATAATGTATTACACTTCACGTTAATTAACTTAATTCACAAAATCGGGTTACAACAACAACAAAGGGATTGGTATTTATTATATGGTGATATTAGTAGAATTGTAAAAGATAAATTAATGAAGAATTAATAACAATAAATATAACATTATCGTCGTATTTTCATTTTTCTCTGGAAAAATTATGAACGTATGTAAAATTTTCTGCGGCCCTCCAACATGATCTTATCTTGTCTGGGCCGCTCTGATATATATTATTACCATATTAAGTACAACAAAGGTTTAGTAAACAATGATTTGTTATTGAAATTACTTCTCATTATCTGCATAAAACTATAATGTAGTTTGCCATTGCCCAGTTTATAAATTAAAATCTTAGATAACACTAAAAATTATTTAAATTTTTTAAAAAAAAGTTTTATTATGATAAAAATACCCATATTTGTTAATATTGTAAACTTCGTTTTGTTCCAATATCATCTAAAATCTGTCGGAGTTCTTCATCCTCAAAGCGACCCTCTAAGGAAGGGATAAGAGCTTTTGCTTCTTCCGGACCATCGGGGCACAAGTTTCCTAGCGCCGCCAATTCAAATTTGTGCAATTTTTTTTGCATGAGTAAACTAGAAAATTTAAAAAGAATATCGAAACATTAAACAAAATATTCATTTTCTTATTTATTAAATTAGTAACTAATAATTATGTTTATATTTAATATTTATAATAATTAATCTAGTGTTTATAGTAAACTAATGAAATTGAGAGCCGAAATAATTTTTGATTTATAGTAAATCGTTATCTAAATATTAACTTACAATTTAAAATGTGAGTTAACCTGAACCTTGCTAAATCATCTGTTACACTATATTTAAAGTGTACATCATTCAAGATTCCACTAACCTTGAAGAAATAAATTAATATCATAATATACATTCAGATTTAAGTGATCTTGTAACTTTAAAAACGGATAAAAGTATTTAGACTATAAGTCACATCACAAACTGGCGAGTATGTATGTGAGCGTACAATATGCAAAAGCTTAGATTATTGTAAATCCAATTGCTATATATATTTTGTTAAAAATATTTGGAACCCATGTCATGTTTTAATATTAAAGCAAGAAGTTTAACGTTATCGTTGTCTTAGGACGCACCCATTGAAGTGGTTAAATATCTCCACTTTAACTTAAATTACCTTTAATTAAAATTTTACTCATCTTCAAACAATTGTTACTCCTAAATAATTCCCTTCTCTATCATCGTATCATCAAGTTTTCATATCCTAACCTATTATTTATTTTATTTATAACTCCTTTCATGCTATCTGCTTGATAGATCTCCGAAGATAGCAACAATAACCATGTAATTGTGGACGGTTGCATATGATAAATTTAATCTCTTCGCAATATTAGAATTTGTTATTCTGCAGATCGCATTAGTTATTGTGTTTATGTTGTCTGATATCATTTGGTTTAAAATATTGCGATTCACATAATATATTGTTGTTATAACCAGCAGTAGGTCTCTGCTGGAAGCGGGAAACATGAAAAGATAACAAGACAAATACAGGGATTGGGAAAAGGACAAGCGTTCTGTCAATACGTCTGCTTCATAGAAATCAAAAAATAGTTTTCTTGCTTACACAGTTTTTTTTTATAAAATAAAAGAAAAATATTTTGAAAACTTTACACATACCCTCACTTTGCCTATTTGTCTAGCCTGTGAAAGATATCTACTTACATAAACCTTGTTATTATAGCTGTATAAGTATATAATAATTTTATTCAAAATAGATTTATGTCCTCTATTGCGAAAAAACGAAATCGCTTTTGGTTTTTATTTACTATTAATTCAATAGTATTTTTACTATAATAATATTATACTACATTAATGAAAGATTGATTGATTTTAATTTATTTTGTCCATGGATCCATGTCAATTTCCGTTTTATTTTTAATATTTCTACTTCTAAGTATTTTGAAATTTAATATAAAAAGAGCTTAGTAAATATTTTTATTTACCTTCGCACAGAAGCTATAGTTTCCTTATTTTTAAATTTTCGAAAAGCATCTGTGTATGCATATGTTTTAAGAAAGACTTCAGAAAATTCTTGCTCCTCGTCAGCAGATTCATTTTGTCGCTTTCGATGATCAAGAAGCATGTGCACTTCAGATATAAGCAATGTTTCTGCATTTTCAAACTCTAAAAGAACAAAATAAGAAAAAATTTTAAAGTTGTTAAAATGTGAAAGCATTTTACCGGAAGCAAGTGAAATTTCCTAATGATAAATAAAATACAAAATTATCGTTAATTATGATGGTTTATTGATAAGGCCATTTTCAATCAAAAAATCATACATTTTTCTTGTTTTGTTTACGTCAATCTTTATTAATCTTCTTGCATCGGCAAGTCGAAGTTGTCCTATTTTAACATTTTCTGCCATCAGTAAGGACTTATAATTTAAAAACGCTTGTGGTGATATGCGTTCTAAGCTGCAGAGACTGCGTTCAGCATCAGTTAATTTAACATAATAAGGTAAGCCTATTTAAAATAAAAATGTGTAAATTAATAAGTTTACTACATGTTAGCTTTTATATGTACCCGTTATATCCAACGGTTTAGGTTTTTTTCGTTTCATAGAACTAACTGCATCAGTGATGTTAGCGATTGGAAATAATTTTGGACTTGGTATCAGTTTACGCCATTGATTATACTTATACTGCTCTGCTATTTTAATGCGATGATCCTTACTCATATGACGTTCTTGTTTAGATTTAAAATAAAACTGTCCCCCTTCCAATGTGCGCACTCCATTTTGTCGTAGTTCATACAAACTTTAATAAATAAATTAGAATTATTTTGGTTTTATACACAACAAAATTTATACCGAAAAAGTGATTTTTGTAGATCTTTAAAATATTTTAAAGATTCTAGAAGTTTATCGAATGCTATGGGCTTCATAACTTGGACAAACGATAGAAACTTAATGCAGTTTGCGTCAGAACCAAATGCGTCAGCATATTTTAAAATCCAACCTAATGTGCGATTTGATACAATAAGTCCATGGTCACGTATGATTTTATAACGCCTTTTGCGTTCTCTAATACAAAATGATTGAAAAATTAACTTGTATTTCACTTTTGAAGTAATTTACTTACTTAAGACGATTATTATATGCGCAAACTAAAGCACATTTCAATTCTTCTTCAACCATAACAGTGTTCGTATTTCCTTTATAATCAACTTCAGAAAAAGTTTGATCATCTTCGATTGCAGTTAACAAGCGCTCAGCTGTGTTATCGAAGGGTATATCAAAATCACCACGTGCACATCTATAGCCTGACATCATATGAAATTGTATAGATGACGATTCATCAAATCGCGGTGGATCGACCGAAAACATTTTAATTAAATATGGCATGCGTTGGGCAAAATACGTTTCATTTAAATGTGTCAATCCCAACGATTTTTCAAATGTGTCCCCAAAATAACAATCATGATAATGTTTTCTACACTCTTCTGCGGATCGTTTGAAGTTAAAGGCACATTCAACTGCTTCCCAATTTCCGTAACCCTTAGATTTTAATGTGTTTAGTAACAAATGTTCTTCCCTCGCCGTCCAACAATTACTATTTGGAAAAACCTGCATCTCATCACTTATTACTATATAGGCGTGGTTATTAGTATGAGAATATATTTCACGTCCATTTGAAAAACATACTAAACACAGAAGACAGTCACAGTTTGCACACTTAATATATGACCCACACAGTTCAGCTTCGCATATGCTGCACTTGGGGAAACTATCTTTATCTTCAAAAATTTGTTCATCTCTTAATTCAACAATATCTTTATAGACAATGTTATTGGTATCTGAAAGATTAACAATTTCACTCCCCGATTCCAAAATATGGTTTACCTGCATATCTGTAAAGCCAACTTGATAAAATAATTTTAAAGCGGGTATAACATCTAAAACACAAAATACTTTCGGAATTTCACTTGCTTATAAATTTACCGCCCTTGCCACTTCATCAACAAGCATTAAAATAGTTTCTTACCCTTTGGAAACTGCAAATCGGCAGCATCTTCCTCAACCATATCAACCGGACCTAAAAAAGTCATTTTAATTGAAATGTTTTTCACTGATCTTTTTACAAATAATGGAGGCAACTTTTTCACGATCTTTATAATTCGGCGGTATCAACTTATAAATATGTTGATGTTGGTTGCAACACGTTTCATATTTCAATTTATTCCTAGAACAACTTAAACTGTTATAATTGCATACATGAAATTGTTCACCAAACATAATACAACATATACATGTTCAAACTATGTTACAGTAATAGCGCATTCAAGCATATGAATTTTACTAGTAGAATTTGTGCAACTGATATAATAGTAAAATCGAAAAGCGTTTGACCCCTATTTTTAATACGATGGACAACAGTTGTATTGATATAAATTTCAATTAATTATAAATTTATTTAAATAGCGATAAAAGTCTCTTACCCGTATGTTTTAACTGGCCATTTTAATTAACTGCAAGAAACGAAACATATAGTTTTGTTTTATTTGTATTAATTTTATTTATTGTAACATATGATGTGTTGCCATTAAAAGGTTGTATATACTCTTACACTAAATTTATTTAATTAAATATTTAAAGCTCCAAATAATAAGTTTTTAAATTTGGCATAAATGTTCCAAATAGTTTACGCAATAAGCGTTGGTAACACAATAACTATTGTGAACCTTCATTGGAAACTCCAACGAATATTGCTATCATATGTCAAAAATCATATGTAAATCATATGTATTCATTTTAATTTTCAATTTATATTGATAATTTATTTTTATATAAAATGTAGTTTGCTTGCATTATACCATTGACAGACGGGAGCTAAATTATCATTAAGAGGCTAAATTATAATTTATTTGCTCATTTAGCAGTTTTAAATGATCATTTATGGTCTTTAAATGACCGAATTTAACCCAATTTATTCGTCATTTAGGTTTTTAGAAATGGTAATGCTGCATATGCAAATGAAACGATATAAAAACTGGAACAAATTTTGTCAAATTGTCAAAATGTAAACAAAACATATTTGAAAACATTGGTAAATGTAAGTACTCGTTATATTTTTTATATATTTTATATTTTTTTTATATATTTTATATTTCTTTTGATTTTAGATGACTCAAATTAATAAACTCAAGCGCCACGCATGGACGGAAGAGGATGAGATTTTCCTTACAGCAACTTCTTAATGATAATTTATACCGTCTGTCAGGGTATTTTCAAAATGATCATTTAAAGCTGTTTAATGATAATTTAGTGCTCTCGTCTGTCAATGCTATTATGCTATTTGTCAAAACATTACACTTGACAGATTGCAACAGGGATACCAATGGCTCGCGTGACCAATATAGGCCAGCATGGATTTTTTGGCCATACTTGCGAACCATCGAAAAGGCATATTATTAATGATCAGAGTATTTTACCTAATCGCTGTTCATACGTACATGTTGTCTTACGCATTAACCTATTATGGGCTACTGTGTGGAGCATCACATGGCTGACTTTGAATATTTCTTAATATTCAAGGAATATTTTATATATTTCAAATAAAGATAAAGTGAGAGATATCTCTCAAATAAATATAAAACATATAGTTTTATTTTACTATTTACTATGGACATTTCACCGTAAAATTTCAAGTCTGAAATTGTCTAGTACTTAATGGGTTAAGAATAAGTTTTTTCATTTTTATAAAACATGCTTCGAAATCATTATTTGTGTAACAAAATTTTTATCTTTGGACAATTGAATTAAAAAGATGAACTACCACCATTTATAGTCATGCCTCGTTTTAATTGTAATCCAAGCATATTAAGAACTTGTATAACAATGTAGAACAGTTTCATATATTCAAACTAAAAAAAAAGTGGCATCACTATTTAAGTATAAACAAAAATTATTGAACGCATGTCATTTGGGTTTTTGCTGCTTCAATGGTTGACGATTCACAAGTTTCTAGCAAGGATTTGATAAATTTGTCCGAATATTGTGATTTTAACAAGTTTTTCCTAGTTGAGGAAATAGCACTAGAGCCAGATTATACGCAATTACATTATGGAAAATGTTTAGTGATTGGAAAGTTGCGAAGAAATGTTGAGGGTGATTTTGAATTAGAAAATATTCATTTACCTAACTTACCCAAGTAAAGAAAAATAATTTATAATTATTATTTTTAAGCTCAGTTTATTTATTTCAGTGAATATTCGTTGCCGGAAGGATTTTTATCTGTGCATTTACTGACGTTTAGTTATTTGGGTATAGAACTGGAAGATGGACATTTTTGCGAGATTTACGCTGAACTTGTACTACTAAATTTAGAAAATCGTGATGCTAATAAATCACAACTGACTGTTCGTGGCTTACAAGAAATACTATGCCATACTGAAGAGTCCCAGAAACAAAAAAAGATTACAGAATATACAAAGTCACATAAACCTGCGCTAAGGGTATATGATGTTAAAAAAATAGATCGCGCTGGGGAGTTGGCAGAACGAAATTTAAGAATCAGAATGATCGCACAACTTTAGTTAAAGTTATCATGGATGACTGTTACACTGAACCATCGGTTCCTATATTGTTTACATTTATTCAAAACATAAAACATTCAGATTTAAATAGTTTAAAAGTCATTTTGGATAATTTTTTGAATAATTTTGAAAGTATAAAAGAAGAAAACTTTTATCATTTTTGGGAAAACGAAGGACAAAGCCTTACTTGGAATGAGTGGAAAATAACTGAAAAATCTTATTTGGGCACGTCAATAGATAATACAACCACCAGTACTATTTCCATTGATAACAGTCAGGTATTCTATAATAATATGGAGACTTAATTGTTATTATAAATTATATTACATAATTTTAGCACCAAGATGTATCTTCCGAAATAGAGGCAATTTCAAATATTCCTTCCGAAGTTGTAGAAGATGAACGTACACTTGATCAGAAATGGAACGATCATGTTAATAAAGTTTACAACGATATATACAACTTATTTGTAGTCGCTTTTTATAATTACTACTTAAATATTAAAGAATCAATTGAAATGGAGCATTCATTAGAAAGGATCAAAAACAAAAATGAAACCGAGGAAGAATATAATTCCATAATGAATGCACATGACCAGGAAAAGTTAGAGCAATTAGGATTGCCCACTGAGTTTCAGACTAACAGAACGAAAGCAAAATACAAACCAAAAAATACGATGATAGATATTTCAGACTTCAGTGAAGATGTAATAAACATGTATTTAAATTTTTCAAGCGATGATGGCTCTGACATTCTACAAAAGGTGCATGGAACTGAAAAAATGAACAAATCCAGAAACAAAAAATTTAATAGAAAACTACGTAAGTTGCCGAAATTTATAAGAGAAGATAAAGACATGCTGAAGTATTGGCGAAACCGATTTTCACTGTTTTCACGTTTTGATGAAGGCATACAGTTAGATCGAGAAAGCTGGTTTTCAGTTACTCCGGAAAAAGTTGCAATTCATACTGCTAGAAGATTAGCATGTGACGTGATGATAGATGCTTTTTGCGGCTGTGGAGGTAATACAATTCAGTTTGCCCGAACATGTGGTAAAGTATATGCTTTCGATATTGATCCAGTAAAATTGAAAATGGCAAAACACAATGCAACTATATATGGTGTCGCCGATAAAATAGAATTTATTTTAGCAGATTTTTTACAAGTTTGCGACAACTTTAAATTTAAATGTGATGCCGTTTTTTTAAGTCCTCCTTGGGGGGGACCACAGTACAAAAATAAAAAAATGTATGACATTGAAAAGTTTTTACTGCCAGTAAGTGCTACTAAATTACTAAGTGAATGTCGTAAGATGACCGAAAATATTGCTATATTTCTGCCTCGAAATTCTAATATGCAACAAATTGTAAAACTTGCTGGGATAGGCAATCAATGTGAAATTGTACATAATTATTTAAATAGTAGATTAGTAGCAATAACTGCTATCTACGGAGAGCGTATTATATGCAAGAAAAAAAAACATTATCATAAAAAGTATTAAATAAGAAGAATATGTTTTAAGTATTTTAATAATGAAACGTAAATAATGTAATTTCGAGTTAATTAGACATATAAATTAATTAGCATTTAAAAATTCAATGGTACGTCAGAAATAAATGTATTCAATAAAGAGAAAATTTTTAATGTTAATTTTTTGTTGTCGAGAGTGGCGCATTTTATGACGAAAAGAAGCTATTGAAAAGTTACAACAGTTCGAATACAAATGAAAAGACAACAACAAATATTTAGTTAAATATTTCTATGTTTGATGATCATTCACCATGCACAAGTTGCCAAGACCTTTCTATCAACCTGAAAGGTCATGACTACTGCTTTTTGAGGTAACGAGGGCAGATTGTCAGTTTAATATCACAAAGAGAGTCTTACAATAAACAGAGAATATTGCAGCATTGCTGAATAAATTAAATGTTGGTCTTAAATGTTGGTTGTGTGCCAACATATCCAAGGAACTGTCAGACTTTCGCAGTCGCCATTACCTTCCATTGTTGACGGCGCAGTTTAAAACAACTTCGCATTTATGAATTGTGTAAATTTGTTGACCATTTCCCTTTTTTATTTGAAATAGTTCCAGTAATTATTTGTTTTTCTCAATTTAAAATTTGAGGTTAAACTTGTAAATTGAAGAAGTTATATCTGATTAGAAGTGCTTGAGGTTCGTAGAGAAAGGTTCATTAGGTTATATATGGATATATAAAATTTACGACATGCCTTTTAAATTGGTAACCCACTTCGTTTATTTATTAGAAAAAGTCCCTAGTAATTATTCTTTGTTCCTAAGTTTGAAAATTTGAGGCTTAATTTATTGTAAATTAAAGAAATATCTAAAATAATTAGAGCGATTAAAGCAGCTTGAAGTTCGTGGAAAAAATCTGGTTAAGAGAAAATTTAGAAAAGTTCATGGATATAAGTTAATGAACATTTATTTTAATAGGTCTAAGTCATAAATCAATAAAGCTTACAGTTTTGTATACACTTGGGCAAAAAAATAGAAGCGCAACGTTATATGGTATGCTCCAGTTATTGCTTACATTGGTCATTCTCAATTCATTCTCAATTCATTCTCAACTCGACTCTTTGCTGCGCGAGTAAGACGTCTTGTAACCATAAAAGTATAATCTGGTGGCCTGTTGTAAACGTTGTTGTAAGACAACCGTGGTCCCAAACAGGATACTGCCTCGGTGTTGAGGGGGGAAATCCTTGCTTAAAATCGAGCTCACTAATATTACCTGCATTACAGTAGGGTTCGATGATACGAACCCTATGAAGAAAAGATTAGAACGTATGCATTATTCTCCACTTAAGGTGAAGCAAAGCCCTGTTGTGAAAAACATACAATTATCTGCATGTGTTATAATTCTTACTTGTTCTGGGAGGTCCGAAAGTTTAAACATGTAGTGGTTAAAAAGTATATGTGTCAGAACAAATATCCAGCGTGGCACTTTATTTTAATTTCTTGGCTTTGGAGTTAACAGAAGACGTTTTAGTTTTAGATAGTTGCAAACCCAATGCTTCGTTGAAACAGGATAAATGTTTTGAATCAAATTGTTATGTAAAATCGCATGGATCTGCATCAAATTCTTTAACAAAATGAAGTGTAAACAACATTGCTTTCACAGGGCCGCTTTTGGGTTAAATCGTGGTTAATTTGGGAAGTAAGTTCGAATTGTGGTGGTAAAGTGACGTGTTTAACAACATGTTAATGCGGGAAAAGTGAATAAGTCGCGTTATATACGTAAAAAATAAGGGCTGCAGAAATTTGGCTACTGGAGATACCGATAAGATCAATTTATACGATTCACCGTCCACTGCGGATTTCATTTAGTTCATTTAGAAGACTTTTTGCCCTCATTACGTTGGAAATGATCTAAGTGAAGTATTTAAAATATGAGTTAGAACTTATATGCTAAGTCCAATCACATTGCTCATATTACCAGAAGAGCACTGTATAATCTCATCACAATGCGGCGTCCGGAATTAAGTTGTAAGATCAACGTAAACAGTTGAAGAAGGCCTATTGAAATTTATAGCCATGTTGTTAGGACGTGAGGGACTAGATACAGATTTAATTGTTGTCCAAAATCTACCATTATAGGAACCGTAATTATAAAGTGTTTCCTTCACTTATCATTGCAATGATTGTTCGCTGCAGATAACTTTGGATTATCAGGTTACTGCATCATCCTTCAGTTTAAAATGAAAGCCATTAACGAATCACCTATTGCTGTTAAATGTAATATTACATTGACTGATGATGTATATTATTACGAACAGCCAAGTAATCATTCACTTTATATTGAAAGAGTGCCTGATGATATTCACATTGACTATCTAGATTAGAGCAATCTGTATAGATGTCGGTAGATTGATTAAATCTTATTATCTCTCAACTATTCTAATTGCAATTACAAAAAATATTAAAACTTAAAATTCAGAAATGTAAATTAGTTAACTTCAAGTACTGATAATGGAGTCATTCATTTCAAAGTAACCAAAATGCTTAGCATTCCAAAAAGACAAATTGAAATTTTAAACGCTTTGCATTGAAGGACTATTCAGGGAATGTGAAAAGGGTTAAATAAATGGCTTATTTAAAGAGATTTATTTGAATGAATTTACTAATGTGCACAACTTATTTAAACTACCACTGTTTCAGAGTAAAAATGTTTGTTGTAAAAGCTGCTAACAAAATAATTGTGACTCTGTATAATCCAGTAGGTAATAGCATTGGCGGTGTCATAAAATAAAGCGCTCTACAAACGTTTTCTTTACTTTTAATGCAAACTAGCTGCTCTGTGAAAAAGTATCATTTTCAAAAATTTTTCAATAATTTCTTAATTCTAACTTCAATGTTTGTGTAACTTTTTCTATTTTTTAATTAAGTTGTTTTCGTTTGTTGTCATTATTTAAGTTTGGATTCTATTGTTTTTGACCAGTATTACTAATCTTTCTAAATTGGATTAAGTACTTTGACCAGTCCTTTCAAAGCATGTGTAATAATTTCTTCTATGGATTTATCACTCATAGTTACCGAAATTTGTCCACTTTGACTTTTTAATTATCCGGTGGTACTGTTTTTATAATTTTCAATATGAAATAATCCTTTGGCAACTGCAGAATATTTTTTGAAGCTGATGGGCTAAAAACAGAATGAAACTGTAAAAACAAAAAAAAAATATGGACAAACTTTATGTACATATAACCTTTTTTTATATACTATATGTTTATGTGTGGATATATATAAGTGGATAACGGATTGCTTAGAAATACTTTGTGGCAATAGTATTATCATTTGGTGTTCCTCAAAGAAAATCTAAAAAAATAAGGGAGCGTTTAATATAGTTATAATAAATTCTATATATATAACAACAAATTAACACATTTTATTAAAACCGACATTTTTTAAAGTAGAAAAAGATCTTATGTAGTATAAAAGTTACCAAATGCCCCATGTACCATTGTCCATTTTAATCACTATAATACTGATTAACGGATTTTAATGAATTCTGTGACGGGGTGTTAGGAACTGAAAGCCATCTCTTGAAAAAGCCAGTGTACGTTGGAGCCCTTATAATATTAACTATAATTTTTCTTTCAGAATAGCAAAAAAATACTCATAACTTATGAAACGAAACATGTAAAGTAACAACAATGCTCTTAAAATCTTTAGACTTAGATTTTACTCACAAAAAAATTTAAGTAGATGGTAGATACCAGTGACAGCCAATATTGCAAAAGACGCAGCTGACGTAATAACACACTTGTTGTCCTTAAGAACTCAGGACCTGCAAAATCCTTTTATTTCTTAATAATACAATCAATGCCTTATTTCGATATACGCCATTTGGAAAGTGCCTGCCATATATTCACTCTCGCTACTTCTGCTACTACTACTTCTAATTATTATATAGCCGATAGAATAATTTTAGAGTTCTACTTTTTAATAAAATTAATAGAAATATTTTATAGATAGTACTAATGTCATATAGATTAATTTTTAAAATGTTTAGTTAAACACAGTGGCGTAACTACATTTTTTAGGCCTGTAAGCAAATTCTAACTAAGGGGCCCCTACCAACATACTAAGGGGCCCCTCTTTTTATACTCTTTACACGAAAAAATGTAAAAAGGGTATATAAGGTTTGTCAAGATTTTCGTAACGCATTAAAGGAAACTTCGGAAATACCATTAAGTATATATCAGTATACTTTTACAGTTCACACTACTCTCTCAGCTTTTGAACTCTTCGAATGAAACTTTATACACATACTTTTCGTGAGCGCACCCTGTTCACCATTTGATTTCATTGAAATTGGACGTCTATTTCTTGTAGCTGTGATATAAACTTAACAATCGGATATGAGGTTTCTCCGTTTTTAATAAAGGTATTCAAATGGAATATGGTGTATACAGTACTGATATTTGCAAAAGACAACGTACAAAATTATTTTCAAATGGGTTTAAATTTAAATATAGCTTTCATATAAACTCTCGATCAAGACACATATTTTTCTTAGAAAAAATTTTTTATTTCATAAATAGGTTTAATATTTTATTTGAAGTACATACATATTATGTACTTTAAATTTAAAATTTACGTATCTTTTATAAAATGCAATATGAAGTTATTCCAACAAAAAACGTTTCGTCCCACTTTTGAGAATTTATTAAAAAGAAATACAATGAATACAAAAATTTATAGTGGGGTCCCCTAAATTCGGGGGCCCGAAAGCGTTGCTTCCAGTTGCTTCCCTGTAGTTACGCCACTGGTTAAACATCAGATACACATAGCAAACTCTTATCGGAATCGAATAGAAACATTAAATACCTGTAATAATTAGTAAACTAATTATTAGTGATATTTTAAGTAGGCAGTTATATATAGACTTTTGCATGTAAACCTAATAAAATAAAATAAATACTTCTTTTTCAAATTAGACGATTTTACTGATTACTTCATAAATCATCATATATCAACAAACACTGAAAAAAATTTTAATGTAAATAGGCTAACATTTGTGGATAATTAATTTCACATGATGTAACTAATAAAATTATCCAAGTGATTTGTGGAAAAATCCACCTGCAGGAAAAACAGAAGAACCCGC